TAGAAGAAAGAGGAAGGGGCCACAAGCCAAGGAATGCAGGTGTTCCAGAAGCTGCAAAGCACACAACAGATTCTCCCCTAGAGTCTCCAGGAGGGAATACAGTCCTTCCAGTACCTGATTTTAGCCCAGCAAGGCTTACTTCAGACTTTTGAACTACAGAACTGTAAGATCATAGATTTGTATTGTTTTAAGACACTAAATTTATGGCAATTTGTTACAGCTGACACAGAAAACTAATAAAAACCCAAATGTCCAGTGGTAGAGGACTGGTAAATAAACACAGCATAACACGATGGGGTCTCAAAAAGAATAAGGTAGCTCTATATGAACTTACATGTAATTGGTTCCAAGCTATATTAAGTGGGACAAAAAATGTGAAGTATAAGAAGAATGTACATACCATGTTATCCGCATAAAAAAAGGCACAGTTTAAAACCCACATAGATCTTTTATGTATATCCACAGACAACCTTCAGAAAGATCCACTAGAAACTAGTAACATTCATTGCCGCCAGGGGAAGAGAAATGGGTGACAAGGGTTTCCCATGGGAGAGATGTTTGGTTTTCACTGTATCCCACTTCATGCTGTTGGAGCTTTTGTTTCTGTTTCTGTTTTATCATGTTCAAGCATTGCTTTAAGAATAAAAAAAAAGATGGCGAGGCGTGGTGGCTCATGTCTGTAATCCCAGCACTTTGGGAGGCTGATGCAGGCGGGTCACGAGGTTAGGAGTTCAAGACCAACATGGTGAAACGCTGTCTCTACTAAAAATATGAAAAATTAGCTCAGCGTGGTGGCATGCACCTGTAATCCCAGCTACTCTGGAGGCTGAGGCAGGAGAATCGCTTGAACCCAGGAGGTGGAGGTTGTGATGAGCAAAGATCAAGCTATTGCACTCAGAGGAAGACTTTGTCTAAAAAAAGAATAAGAAAAAGAGACCCAAAAAAATGTTTAAAGGAGGGAGCTGTGCTCGGTCTTAAATGAGTTTTTACTGTTTGAATTGGTTTAATAAGTAATGACGGAGCCCCTTCCACGTGTGGCACACTGTCACCTACCTTTTCTCATTTCATCTTCCTTAACAACACTGATGGGTTGGTGTTCTTATAATACCCACAGTTGAGCCGCTGAGTCACAGAGGGTTAGTGGCCAAATTGCACAGCTAGTAAGTTTCACAGCTGGATTTTAAAGCCTGGTCTTGTAGCTCCAGGGTTGTTGCTGGTTCCCACGGCAGCAGGGGTCAGCTTAACCCTAGGACGCTAAGACATGGAGTTGTCAAACAGCCGTCTCTATGGCTTTTCCTGACCCTTTTGTAGGTCTCGGAGTTGAGGAGAAGGTCAGCCTCCAGAGGGGCTTTCTGGGTTCAGCCCACCTTCTCCTGTTACATCTCTCAGCAAAGCTCATTTTGGCCCTTCTGGGGAGAGGCGGCTCCAGCGGTCACTGCGCTAATTGTTCTCTCTGGTGGGCTCACGTTGCAGCAGACCCAGTGCAGCCACCTGCTTTCCTCCTGCGGAGCGGAAACCCTAGAGATGACAGGCCTCTGCCTAGTATTACATCTTGATCAAATACGGCTGCCCTGAGATTTATCATTCCTGCAAAAATCAGGCCGCAGATGAAGGGGGTTCGTGCACAGAACGAGGACTTCCCTCTTGGGCTTTTCCCCTGCCTGTCGGTAACTTACAACTCTGGGCGAACAAAACTCACCTTCCTGGGCCTCCCTGTCTGGCAGAATAGAGATCATGTTCCTGCGTGGCAGGGACAGATGTTGCTGGCCCATTTACCTTGAAGGAGCTATGTTTAAATATACCCAAACTGCCTTTCACGTTGAGAGTCTCAAAGCATTTTCAAATGAGTCATTAATGAATTTCGACCTCTAGCAAAAGCAAGAATTATTATCTTCATTTTATCGATAGGTCAAAAGTCACACAATCAATGACAGATGTCGGAAACGGAGGTGAGAATTCTGCTTTTGTCCTCAGCGGCAGCCACTAAATCCCACCTCTGCTATCCCTGACAGAACTTCTTTCTGCTCTCCGACTTCTGGCCAAAGACTTGGAATTGGCCTTTATGTGTTTCTACTTAAAGGTTTGAATTCTATGTATGGTTCATATGCCTTTGATATTTCTGGAATTTATAAAAGAAAAGGAGAAGAATGATATTTGATGCTTTTCAGAAATCACGTTGGAACTGAGCCTTATATTGTGGGTCAAATGCCAATAACGGGGAAAAAACGGTCACCAGATCTTTAGAAGGTTCACTTTTATTCTCTCTCTGAAAGAACTTTGCCTGTTAAAATTAAGCGGAGTGTATCTTTAGTCACCAAAATGATTATTGTAGGAATACTGAAAGTCACTGCTTATTGAGCACCAACTATGTACCAAACACTGCTCTATTTATGCGCACACTGTATGGGGTGATTCTCGACAACACCCTAGGTGGTCTTTATCATTCATTGTATAGGTAATATAAGTGGGCTCAGAGATAAAAGATGGGGTGAGGAGAAAGGTGAGGGAAGGAAGAGAAAGTTCAAAGGAAATTAATTTAAAATTATTGGGTATATATAATGTGCCATATGTGTTGTGTTATGATAGGTATTGGAGATACAAAGATGAATAAAATCTCTCTCTCAAGAAGTTGATACCTTGTGGGACATTGAGGGTGACAGATGAGAAGACAAACATATAATAATAATAATAATAATAATGATGTCAATACAATTCAGTCCAGAAGTATTTATCTAGTTCCCAGTATGTGTTAGACACTGCACTAGTTGTAGGGGATAGTTCCTCTTCTCTTGGTACTTATCATCTAATAGGAAAGTCAGACATTCATCAAATAATTATACATGCTTAAAATTGCAATTGAGCACAATAAACGACAACAGATGGGCCACAGCTTGACAAAGGATTAGTACACAGAATATATAAAGAACTCCTACTCAGAGTAAGAGATAATCTGTCAAATAAGCCAATTAGCGACTTAAAAATGAGGAAATGGCCAACAAACAAATGAAAGAGTGCCCAGTCTCACTTGTTAACAGGGAATTGCAAAATTAAAATACTAAAAGGCCATTTCACACCCATCAGCTTGGCAAAAATTTTGACATCTTACAATACCAAAAGTTGTTGAGGATGCCAACCATGGGAACTCTAATATATTGCTATCAAACTGTAAATGGTACAACCACTTTGAAATACCATTTAGCCATTCTAAGTAAAGCTGCCAGTTCCCATGCCTTGAACCCAGCAATTCTGCACCCAAGTGGCTACTGAAAGACTTACATTCACACAAGGGGATGGGTATAAAAAATGCTAATCACAATATTGTTTCTAACAGAAAAAAAATTAAAAATAAGTTGAATGGCCTTCAGAAGGACACTGGTAAATTAAGTATAATGAACTCATATCATGCGACCTGAATAGGCAGTGAAAACTGCATAATCTAGAACTACATGTCTCAGTGTGAACACATTTCAAGATCATACTGCTGGGTGAAAAAAGCAAGTTGCACAATTATATACTCAGTATAATGCTGTTTCTTCAGAGTTTAAAAACATACCAAACAATTCTATAAAGTGCTTACAGGCACAAATATATGTAGCAAAAATACAAAAGCATACATAGAAATGATAAAACTCAAAGGCAGAAAAGTAGTTACCATAAGGGAGGGACAGAAATGAATTCAGAAGACTAGATCTGTAAGGTTTTATGTCCTTTAAAAAAGATCTGAAGAAAACAGAGCAAATGTTAAGCTTTGACAAAGACGTGGGGGAGGCAAGGGAAGGCACACAGAATAGTGATTAATTATATTATTCGCTGTAGTTTTTCCGTATGCTTTAAATTCTTTTGAATTGCTCTTTGACCTATTAAAAGAGAATTCCACTGAGTTGGGGGGGTGGGTCAGGGAAGGTTTCTCAGATGAATTGAGTCTTGCTTAGGATGACAGCTGAAAATTGAGTAGAAGAGGAGGGGCGGGAAGGTGTCTCAGGCAGAGACAGTCTGTGCTAAGAGGCTGGACTGGGAAGGTGAGGTAGGGACCAGGGACTCTTCCAGAGCAGAGGAAGACAGGAGCTGGAGTTGAGGGGAGGCGGAGGCGAAGGGGGTGTGCGCGGAGCATGCAGGACCCCACAGGCCATCCTGAAGGGTCCTAAATATGACAAAACCAGCAGGCGGCCCAGAGACACTGCACTCGGCCAGATAGCAGAACGGGGAGGGCGTTCTTGAAAAGGTGACTCACATTTGAGTTCTGGAGGATGAGTAAGAGGAAGCCGGTGGGGGAAGGGGGAGAAGGGAGGGAGGGGAAAATTCCCTGGATAGGGCCTAAGCGCTGCAAAGACCTGAGGACCTTCAAGAGTGTGGCCCCAGCGGGCTCGGGCCTCCGAGGCGAGCTCGGGGGGCGTGGGGTAGAAAATGGCAGGCGAGGGCGTCTATTAGACGGGGCGGAGTCAGGGCCAAACAGGGGTTGCAGGTGGCTGTTCTGGCAGAGCGAGGAGGATGGATTTGAAGGAGACCGGCGTGCAGGCGAGACCTTTGAGGGGGATTTGTCAGCAGCCAAGGGGGGCGGGGCGCCGGGCAGGTCTGGCTGGAGTGGGAATGAGGATGGAGTGCAGAGTGCCGGGAGAAGTGTTCCGGAGGGAAGGCGACGCGTCGGGACTAGGGGGTGGGCGGGCGCGCCTTCTCCGCGATGGACAGTAATCGGGTCAACACGCGGCGAGCGGAGGTGCGCGCGGGGCCGACCGTTTGAGCAGAGCTGTCGGGCCGGCGTTGGGGTGGGCGCGCCCGGGCTGCAGGCGGGGAGCCGGAGGTGGGAGGTGCCTCTTGCGAGGGGCTCTCCACCGCTGACAGTAAACCACCTGGTCGGACGGAGGACAGAGGGGGAAGAAACGGAGGGATCGCTGGGGGGCGGCGAGGATTGTGGCGGATGGGGGGTCGAGAAGGACCGGGCGCAAAGGACCGTGCCGACTCCGCGCGGCCGCCGGGAGGGCAGCTCCCCTGGGCAGGCTGGGCGGGCCCTGGGGCCGGGAGCGGGCGGCCGCACCTCCGGCCTCCCTGCCGGGCTGCAAGGAGGCGGCGCCCGGAGCGCACCCGGAGCGAGCAGGCGCGGAACAGCGGACCCCGGCCGGGCCTTCCCGCAGTTTTTCCGGCCGCCTTGGAGTGCAGGGTCCCCGCGCGGCCCGGGGCGCCTCCCGCTAGCGGCCCGACCCCCTGCCCTCCCGGCCCCCGCCAGGCTCCCCGCACGTGCAGGCCGCGCCTCCCACCGGCCCGCGAGCCCGGCGACGTCACTGCGGCTCTGATGCGCGCTCATGGAGGCCCGGGCGGAGGCCGTGCGACGCGGGCTTCCTCCGGGAGGTCCCAGTCCCGGCAGCCCGCGGCCGCATCCTTGGCCCTCCTCCAGGGGAACCTCGATCTTTCCAAATTCGGTGGGGCCGGCTGTCCTTCGAATACTGATAAGGACATGAGCGCTGAGTAAAAGATTTCCGGAAAGAAATAGCGGGACCTAAGAAAGAGACTAATCATAGCCGCCAGCTAGAGCTCCAATGGTGTGCTCAGCGCCCTTAGGAACAATAATAACGATCACAGCCATAATGGCCACCATTTATTGAGCGCTTACTCTGTGCCAGGCACGGTGTTAAGCGCTTTGCCGGCAACAACCCTCGGAGGTAAGTACCATTATTATCAGTCTTTTGCAGGAAACCCGGGCACAGAGAGGTTAAGTAACTTGCCCCAGGGCACACAGCTAGCTTATGTTAGTGCCAGAATTCCAACCCCGGCTGTTGGATCCCATGTCATCTTCATGTCAACCCACTAAGGACGGGATCCTTCTCTCCATCTTAAAGATGGGGAAACTAAGGCACATGGAAATTTAAGTATAATACCTTGCCCAAGGTCACCTAGCTGGAAAATGGACGAGGCAGAAAGCGAACCCAGGGCTCCTCTCTGTGCGCAGAACCCGCGGTCTTGGCCATAGGCGATGCCCCTTCCGACAGCCCAGCAGGGCATGGCCCTGAGTCGCAGAGGCGCAGCCCCCGCGGCCTCCGATCCCCTGGTGAATCCGGTGTTTCTGAGCATCGTCCCTGCTCAGCCCGCAGGCGTTGGATAGGGAGGCGTCTCCGGGAATCTAGTCGGGGACGGGGCTGCGGTCCTCAGTAGGGATGGAGGGGGGCGGAGGCAGCAGGAGGGATCTGGAGTCCCGTCTGCAGAGCGGCGGGGCCGGGCTCTTGGCTGGGCGCCTGCCCCGCGCGACCGGCAGAGGGCGCTGCCGCACGCGCCTTGGATCTCACTGTCACCAGGACCTCCGGGCGGGCTGACGTCGGCCTGCAGACGCCTGGACTCAGAACCCCGAAGCAAGAAGCTTCCCTTCATGGTGGCTGCCATCCCTCCGGTCCACCATTTCAGCCCTGGCCCTGCTTTCCCCGACCACTCTTCCCCATCTTCTGTGCTCCTGCCATCCCATCACCGGCTTCCAAGGCTTCCCCAGTTCCTGCGCAGCCGGTTTTGTCATCTCCTGCTGAGAGGCTCGGACACCTATTCCCATCCCATTAAAAGCTTAGGTGTTTGCAAGTCAAATTTAGCCTTGCCTCCCCTTCTCGCCTTCTGGCGATTTAAAATAGGGATAAATCATCTACTTGGGATAAATGACTAATTTTTCTCTTCTTCGCCAAAATACGGTGGGTAGGGGGAGGGTTGGTGAAGTAGGCGCAGATAGATGAAAAGATCTATTTTCATAATAGCTACCGACTACAGAGTGCTTCTTTTGCGCTGAGCCCTTTATGTGCTTTGACTCATTAACCCCCACTACAGCCCTAAGAGGTGTGGATGATGATTGCTGTTTGATGGATGAGGTCACAAGGCTGGTAAGTGGCAAAGGTGGGATTCTTCCCAGGAGTGTCTGACTTTAAAGCTGTGTTCTCATCACCCAGAATGTACATGCTGAAACAGCTGAACGGAAGAGGTAAGATGCAAATCATGAAAAACAAATCAAAATCTCTGTGCTGAGAGTGCATAGAAATACCACATGTGCAGGGGAGGCTTGACCAGCTTGAGTCCCCAATGTGGGACTCAGATGTCTAACAGAAAAACAAAACCTAAAGGTGCAAGGACAGAATAGGAATGAGGCTTTTGGCTTTAGCTTGGAAGAGCATCCGGAGAGGCCCACTCACTTTCTATGTCTGGGCTCTGAGAAAATAAAGGTGGTTCTAGGAAAATCTGAAAAGTATGGGAGAAAGAAAAAAAAAATCCCTTTTGTGGTTTTTCCTTTAACCAAGCCTCGTTTTGCTATTTGTGTTTTATTTTAAAATTAATGTGGCTCTCCCCACCCTTTAAATTGGCACATAAATAGCAAAAACAGAAGGAAAGCCAGCTACAAACTTAAAATGTGGTGGGTTTCTCAGGAAGGAGGTACATGACGTGAAATGGAAATGAGGATTAAATGAGGTGCCTTAAACATTTCAAAAACAGACTTTCCACACGGAATTTAGATCATAAGCCCTGAGGACAGCTTTGTCTGGATCTGGGCTTGGTATAGTGTCTAGAATCTATGAGTGCTCCATCAATGTGTAAAGTAAATCACCCTTTTAGTACATGCTTGTATCATCTGACTACCTGGGCTACCATGTTGCTATGGCTTTATTTTTTATTATTGTTATTTATTTTTGAGATGGAGTCTCGCTCTTGTAGCCCAGGCTGGAGTGTAATGGCACGATCTTAACTCACTACAACCTCCGCCTCCCGGGTTCAAGTGATTCTCCTGCCCCAGCCTCTCGAGTAGCTGGGATTACAGGCGCCCACCACCACGCCTGGCTGATTTTTGTATTTTTAGTAGAGATGGAGTCTCCCCATGTTGGCCAGGCTGGTCTCGAACTCCTGACTTCAGGTGATCAACCCGCGTCGGCCTCCAGAAGTGCTGGGATTACAGGTGTGAACCACCAGGCCCGGCCTGCTTATGGTTTTGAAGTGTGGTTTCTGGGGTGATTCCTGTCCTCTAGATCTCAGTCACTCCTCAGACCCCTCACTTTTCCAGAAATTTGCTCTGGAAATTCAGTCAAGGTGAGGCAATAGGTGATGATGTCACTAGGCTTAGTTAAGTAGAATGACTGCTTGGCTATGGAACCACCAACTGGAGGTTTTCCAAATGACGAAAGCCAAGGCAGAAAGAACCTCATGGGACTCATCACTTAATAGTTCTGACTCTATTGCCCTGTGTCTTTAAACTGGAAGAATTCCCCTCTTCCCCCAATACCCTGGCCATACCAGGCGGCCTCCGACAAAATTCTTGGGCTTCTTTGCCTTTTCCTCAGTCTGCTTCTCCTTCCCTCCTTCTTTCAGTACATTCACTCCACAAACATATAGAGCCATTATATGTGGTGCTGGGGATACAGCAGAGAACCTGGCATGAGCTCATGGACTCACCTTCTCCTGCTCCCACCTGGCTCCTTTCCTCATGGTTCCAACTTTCAGGCTTGGCTCCACCAGAGTAACTGACTTGCTTCTCCATGTGGGAATGACTGCTGAGACACATTTGATATTCTATCAGCTTCTGGGAGCTACCTGAGGCCATACCTGCTGAACTTAGAGCCCCACCTTGGGGATATCCTTTTGGCAGGCATGGGTCCTGATAGACCTTCAGGGGCAGAACTTGGGAATGTTCTAGCTCCAGGACCTGCCAATGCCTTCCCATCCTTTCCTAGGGTCTTTCCTTCAGTTCATAAGAACACTGTTTCTGACAACTGAAATCACTCAGGTCATACTTATGAAACATCTGTTACAATGAAAATCCCATAGTGACATAATGCTTCACAGGAAAATGCTGGCTAAAACAAACAACAGTGACTGTCTGGCATGGGACACATTGAATAAGGCTTATGAGTCTTTTGGGTCTTTTTTTTTTTAGTTGAACCTTGGGATCGAGCGGTTCATAATAATGAAAGGGAAGGAAGACACTAGGCCTGTTTCAGTTCTCAAAATTATTCACATGGAACAGACTTTCACCATCAACACCGTAAAAGAGCAGAATGCTCAAGGTAAATGGCCAGTTTTTGTCTTTCTGGAAAATCCATTAATACTGAATGATCTTGGTCTTGACCCATTCCAAAAAAATTAAAAAAAAGAGGATTGAGCCATAGGATTCAGATTATGTCCTTGAAAATCCCTTTAAAAACTAGATTCCAAATCAGAGCTCTTATTCTTCTTGAATATCCCACCCACCTGCCTCAGCTTGTCCTCTCCCTTCCAGATACAGCATTATTTTCTCTCTTTGTGGAAGAATGGCCCAGAGACCAGAAGAGTGAGGGAACATCAGGACAACTTTTCCACTGACCTGAGTTGCTCAGCCATTGGGACTCAGAGAACTCGTTATATATGTGTGCTGCGTCTGCATGAATTTGTGGTTGTGCATTTTCTGGCTAATATCCAGTCTTCAGAACACAAGGGCCTGAAATACGACAAAAAAGACCTCTGTGTCAAGGACGTGTGTCCACCCACCAAGAAGTTCTGGGTGGCTAGAGGGGCTCCTAGCTCAGGGTCTGCGTGTCCAGCTGTTGGGGTAAAGAGATTTGGACACCACTGAACATTCCTACTGGGATCTTTCCAAACCCTTTTGGGAACCGGGAATAGCGCTAGTCTGGGGAAATTAGTTTTGCACTTTCACAGAGTGAGAAATTCCTCAAGGGGCATTCTTGTACTTGGGAAGAGAAATCGAACCCAGCTCATTCCTTCAGGGCCCTTGCCACTAATAAGGCAGATCGAATCCAGTTCAGTTAGTCCCACCTGGGTGAGGGCGTGGAGTGGGGACAGGAGCAACGGAGTTCAAGGAATTTCACCTGTGGCTACGGCCCTTCTCTGACCGATGCAAGCTTGATATTTTAGGGGCCAGTGTTACCGGCATGTAAACACCGTGAGTGACAGCCAAAGCTCCCAGGCAACCACAGAGGATCTCAAACCCTTCCTATCTTCCTAGAAACCCTGGCGGCGCGGCCGGCTGCTTGCTGTCTGATGCAACAGTTTGCAACGCTGTTCTGGGAGTTGAGTTCTGCAGCGGGGCGCCGGGCGCCGGGCCGACGCGCATGCGCGGGCTGCGGCCCCGCCCCGCAGGGCGGAGGGGGTGCTTTTCACCAGATGTGCGAGGGGCGGGGCCGGCCTGCTGGGGAGACCTCTGGCAGCTCGCGCCCGCGATCTGAGCTTAATTAAACTTCTCCCGAGGCATTGGCTGACTGATTGACCCAGTGATCCAAAAAAAATCAGAGAGGCCCAGATCTCCCCAAACGCCCCAGCAGAGAGAAGTTGGGAAGTTAGCTTTCGGTTTCCAGACTTGGGCCTTTGGATTCAGCCTCCCTCCCCTGCGCCCCCGATCCGCAGCGCTGTCCAGGATCCACAGCTAGAAAGCTCAGTGAAACCTAGCGGGCCTGGGCCCTCACACCCGATTTCTTAAGAAGGGAAGGATAGCGGCTACGGGGCGGGAAGGAGGCAAGGTTTTGATACCGCCTTGGTCAGTAGCTCCCCTGCCTTGCTCATCTGCTTTAGGTTTTATGAGCAGGAGGCGTCACCGATTATTTTTCAAAATTTTCAGCCATTCGGGTATTGCCTTCACAGTTTGCTTCTATATCCATATTCCACCTCTATTATATATTTTAATTGACTTTTACTTTATTAACTTTTTATTTAAATTAAATCGTTTCCCTTTTTTAGATAGCTTTGCCCTAAGCAATAACATTAGCAAAGTTACAGGCTGAAAATAAATTCAAAACTATTAAAATGAAAAATGTATATATGGGCTGGTTCGAGTGCAATGGTGTTTACAACTAACTGATCACTAATCCGGTTACCGATTTCTTTCTTTCTTTTCTTTATTCTTTCCTTCTCCACCCACACTGCATCACTTGACTAGCCTTATTTACAAAAAAAAAAAAAAAAAAAATGGCCGAGTGTGGTGGCTCACGCCTGTAATCCCAGCATTTTGGGAGGCTGAGACAGGCCGATCACAAGGTGAGGAGTTCAAGACCAACCTGGCAAATATGATGAAGCCCCATCTCTACTAAAAATACAAAAATAAGCCGGGCGTTGGGGCGGGTGCCTATAGTCCCAGCTACTCGGGAGGCTAAGGCAGGAAAATCGATTGAACCTGGGAGGCAGAGGTTGCAGTGAACCAAGATCACTCCACTGCACTCCAGCTTGGACGACAGAGGGAGACTCCGTCTCAAAAAAAAAAAAAAAAAAAAAAAGGGGTGATCCCTCAAAAAAAAAAAAAAAAAAAAAAAAAAGTATGTTTGTTAGCTAAATTGTCTTGTCTACCACATGTGGTGAAAAACTCTGGTAATTGCTGGGCACCATGGCTCATGCTTGTACCCCAGCACTTTGGGAGGTCAAGGCTGGAGAATCACTTGAACCCAAGAGTTTGAGATGATCCTGAGCAACATCCCATCTCTGCTAAAAACACAAAAATTAGCGGTATAGTGGCCTGCGCCTGTAGTCCCAACTACCCAGGAGGCTGAGGTGGGAGGATTTGGTTGATCCCGGGAGGTTGAGGCTGCAGTGAGCTGTGATGGTGCCACTGCACTCCAGCCTGGGTGACA